CTGAGCTAGGGCCAGGCCCCCGTATATTTTGTATATATACGTATATACAAAATAGGATAGATGTGCAGCTACTTTCTCTTAGTCCAATGAGAAGAAAGGTTTGTACTAATATTGCTTAGGCAAGATATCATGTCTTCATCTTGTCCTCTGAATAACCACTAGGAAGACAACAATATGCAATGCATTAATTATTTATTTTTTAACTTTTTTTTTTTTTTTTGTGGTACCAGGAATTAAACTCAGGACCTTGCACTTGCCAGGCAGGCACTTATGCCGCTGAGCTATAGATATCCCTGGCCTGCAATGTGTTAGTTATTGTAACTGTCCTACTAACCTGTTAGAAACTGTTACATCGTTATTTTTTCTCATTAAAATGAATAAAAAATTAAAAAAAATAAAAACCAAAAACCAAAAACCTCACTCCCTGAAAGCTGGGACACCAGCCCGACCTTTGGCTTCGGGTGGCTCCGGTTGGAGGCAGTGAGCTCTCGGCGCCGCCAGGTGGAGCCCTCGCACGACCCTAGCCAGGACCGGGTGGGCCCCGCAGCCCGCCGTGGCCCCTTTAAGGCGAGCGCCGCGGGTCACGTGGTGCGACGGGGGCGTGGCACCAGGAAGCGGCCTGCGCGCCGGCCGGGAAGTGGGCTCGTCCGCGCCGCCCGGGTCCACGCTGGCAGCGGCTTCCGCGCGCTCCGCCGCCATGGGCGAGGAGGAGTACTATCTGGAGCTGTGCGAGCGGCCGGTGCAGTTCGAGAAGGCCAACCCGGTCAACTGCGTCTTCTTCGACGAGGCCAACAAGCAGGTCGGCGGGCCTGCCGGGAAGGGGCCAGGCCGGGCGCTGTGCGGGCAGGGCCGCGCCGTCACCCGAGGCCGGCGGGGCCGCCTGCGCACGCCCGGGAGCCCCGGCCTTTTGTTGTCTCTATCTGTCGCTCTGGCGGCAGCCCGCGACGGAGACCTTGGGGTTTTCTTTTTTCTCGGAACCTTGCGAAGGAAAGAGACAGCGTGTCGCTGAAGTGCGGCGCGGCCCCTGGCCCCACCGGCGCTCGGGCGTGCAGTCCGGGGCCCCGGCGGGACCCGCACGGGGAGACGCCCACGCGCCTGGTTCTTAATCCCGAGAGCGGCCGAGCGCCGGCGCCTGGTCGCTTAGCGGAGCCGGGGGTGGAGTAGAGCGGAAGATCCCTCGCCGGGTGCGTCTCGGGCGGCGTGCTCCCGGCGGGCGCACCGTGAACGTCGCTGCTTCTCTCGCAGGTGTTTGCTGTGCGATCGGGTGGCGCCACCGGCGTGGTAGTCAAAGGCCCAGACGACAGGAATCCCATCTCGTTTAGGTAAGAGGATTGTCATTTGGGGGGAATATTTCTGTGTGTAAACAAAGTGATATTTTTGTGATCCAAAGGTTGTGGTGTAATTTTGTCTCTGTTTTCTCTAGCGTTGAGAGGAGGAGTTTAGGCTTGCGCACCCCGCGTGCGTGTGTGCGTGCGTGCGTGCGTGCATTTGTGTATGCGCATCCCGGTCTGTCCCTGTCTGTAGGACAGGAAGCAGACTCCTGTCTTGGAGCACATACAGAGCACCTGTCAGGGTGAAGTATGTGCACCTGTTGTGGGAGGCAAATGCTCCAAAAATAGGGTTCCTGCTTCCTGGTGCAGTACTCAGAATTAACAAGCCAGTGAGGGGTGCCGAGTGGGGCCTCTGCTTCCTCCTTCCTTGTGGTCTTTCTAGAGGGTTTGTTGGGTAGCGGGGAGTCAGCGCCTCTTATGTGATAAAGTCTTAAAGTTTAGGGTGACCGGATGTCCCCTTTTATACAAGTCGAGTTGGTGTGAATAACAGCGGCCCCTTTCACTCTCAGTGGAGTCTAGCTTTAGTGATAAGCTTATCAGGTCACCTTAATTACTGTGATTACAGAAGAGAAACTAAACCACAGGCCCAAGTTCAGCAGTGACTGTGAGAAGAAATTTTTCAGTTGGTCCACGTTAACAGGAAATGCTTTGGAAATAGAAAATAATCGACTTCACTTTAGTATTTTATTGTCACATGCCTAGCAAGTGCTGATGGCAGCCGTGAGCCTACCCTGAGCGAAGGACACCTGCCTCAACTATCAGGTGTAATGTGGTTCCAGGGGACAAGTTCCTACAGGGTGTGGAGCACAGGAGTGACCTAGCCCTGCCCTTCGGATGGCTGTGAACACGGGCAGCCCTTGCTTGAGGTTTAAAGTGTGGATGGGATGGGACTGGGGAGATAGCTCAGTGGCCTAAGCGCCTGCCTGGCAAACGTAAGGACTAGGTTCTGTCCCTGGAACCGCATGTCATGCCAGCCCCTGGGGCCCAATGTGCAGGTCCTAAAACCGGGCGTGGGGGCACACTAGGGAGCTGGAGACAGGAGGATCACTACGAGTATAAGCTGCATAGTGAGACCCTGTATCCAAAAAAAAAAAAAAAAAAAATGGATGGGAGGAGCATTTCTAGGTGAAGAATCTGGCGGCTTCTAGGTGAGACGACCAGATGGTTGTTGTGCTCATTGGCAAGGGCTCCTTGAATCCTGTATGTTTCCCTGTGTGATGGGGGCGGGTCTTATCTGTGAAGCTTGTCAGGTTGGGTTTGTGATGATCACATCTGGGTTTGGAAGCATCACGCTGTTCGTGTGTCTGAGGCTGGGTTGTCGTGGTGTCATAGAGGGCAGGATGCCACTGAGGGGCTGAGGCGCGCAGCCCAAACCCAGGGCTCCGGGAGACGACTGCCATTCCATGAGGTGCCCTGGTGAGGCCTGGGCAGTGTGGGCAGTGAGACTGAGCCAGTCCTGGTTGGCTAGATTTGGGGGCCTGCAGGGGGTATTGGATTTAATTTTACATTAAAAAAAAATCAGCTCTGTTGAGGCATAATTGGCCCAAGAGAAGCTGCACACACTTTATGACTGTATCTCCTGCATGCGTCTCGACACGTGTATACCACTAGCACCGTCAAGATGCGGAGTGTGTCCTTACCCCAAGAGCTGCTTCGTGCTCCTCTGCACTCCACCCTTAAGCAGTCTCTGATAACAGGGTCTTGCTCTGTAGCCCAGGCTGGCCTTGAATTCACTGTGTAGCCCAGGCTGGCCTTGAACTCCTGGTGATCTTACTGCCTCAGCCTCACACATGTGGCTTTTATTCCCCTTTTAATGTGGTTTGAGAGATGTGATAGGCTGGAGGTCGCTTGGCAGGGGCTGTGCAGGGAATGGGACACGGGAGTGACAGGGCAGGCTCCTCTGTCCTGTGAGAAAAGCCGTGTGCCCGGAGAAGGTCACCATGTGGGATGTGGCATATTTGTGCCTGAGCTAATGCTCAGGGGACAGGTACAGGTGATCCCAATTTTCCTGTCTCCTTTTATTCATCCAGTTTTCCAGCAAGTTGTTTCCTGTTGACTTTTGTTTGAAAGAGATCCTGCTGTCTTCTTCAGAAACCTAATTCTGGTGTTAAGCTAGGATTTCTGCTGGACTAATCCAAGCATTTGGGAGGCTGAAACATGACATTTGCCATGAGTTTGAGGCCAGCCTGGGCTATGTGGAGAAATCCTGTCTTACAACAAAAAGACAGCAATTAGAACCCAGTTGCTGACCCTTCACGTGTTTTTTTTTCTTAAAGAATGGATGACAAAGGAGAAGTGAAGTGCATTAAGTTTTCCTTAGAAAACAAGATACTGGCTGTCCAGAGGACCTCAAAGACGGTGGTAAGAGAGTCCGTAAAAATAGCATCAGAAATCGACCCTTAGAAGTATGTTGTGACCGGGTGGTAGGCCGCTTGCCTGGCCTTCGCCGCCGCCCTGTTGTTGCTCTTTTGGTAGTCATTGGGCCAGGAGCTCTGGAATCTGTTCTTGCTGTTATACTGGTAGATAAGGAGACCGGAGCACAGAGAGAGTTAATGTAGCATGGCTTGTGTTACTGAGAGCCTGGTGGAGCCAAGATTCGAGGGTTCCATTGCAGCGCTTTGATTGCGCGGGGCATGTGCTCCAGCAGCCTGTGCCCTTTAGCTCTTCCCCTGCTGTTTAATTATTTGTGGGCCTATTCTTTATTTTTATTTAAATGTCTGCAGTACATGACGATTGCATTCATCATTAGGAGTTGGTTTATGTATAGGACACATGTTGGTTTTTTGCCCTCTCTCCCTCCCTCCATGAGTCACTCCGTGTATTCTGACATCTCCGAGTGAGAGTGGAATGGCTCTTCAGCGCTCCCAGCGCATTAGTGCCCAGGAGTAGTCGCCATCACTGGGCTGGGCTGTAGCTCAGTGGTAGGGCGCTGGCCTGGCGAGCCTAAGGCCCTGCGTCTGATCCCCAGCCCTACAGAAAGGGGTCGAACAGGCAGAGCCTTGCACTGATCTCTTCCTTCCTCGTGGCCTCTTAAGAGTTTCTGGGAAGCCTCTTATAAATGCAGCGGCCTATTTCTCTGACATGTATCACTGATTTGAGGAATGAATTTCCAAGTCGGTGTGTAGACTACCCGAATATCTAGAGTAACTTTTGTAGCTGGCTGGTGAACTGCTGCTTGCTGAGGAGCCTGTGATTCAGATGGGTCTTTGGGTCTTCCCTGCCTTTGAGCATCTGTCTGTCAGGTGTTTGCTGCTCACTCTCTCTTGTATGTCCTGGTAGCTGTGCTGCCCAATCTGGATTTTTCTGTTTTGTGTCTTTCAGGATTTTTGTAACTTTATCCCTGATAACTCCCAGTTGGAATACACACAGGAGTGCAAGGTACAGCTGTGTCTCATCCTCGGCCCATGGCTCGGGCTGTGGGCTGTGCGTGATTCCTCTGCAGAGTGGGCCAGGAGGAGAGTTGGAAGCTGTGGTGACCTGGGAGTGTCCCAGGCTGGTGGGTCCTGGCCTGGGCTTCCTCCTGGGTGGCTGGCATCGCCGGCTCAGGCCCACTTCTGCATGGCTGCCTCCTTTGGAGGTTTCTGCTGAGTTTTCCTCTTTGCTGCTATTCCTTTTCTGCAAATCCTTATCCTTCTTATGCCCTTACTGGCTGGCTTTCCAGAGCTGTGGCTGTAATCCGTGTTAGATTTGCCAGGAGCTCAGCTGAGCACGGCCTCCTGGTGCTGGGAACCCAGCCGGGCTGCAGGGCTGGAGGGTGGCTCTGTGACAGTTATGCTAAGTGAACTTCAGGGTAGCTCCTCCAGGGGAGAGGCAGTCACCCAGGAACCACACCCCTCAGCCCTGGGGCTGCTCTAGGTGGGAGACAGCTTCCCTAGCGGGGCCAGTGATGCACGCTCTAGTCAGAGCACTCTGGGCGGCCCAGACAGGAGAGTCACAAGTTTGAGCTCTGCCCAGGGAACGTAGCAAATGAGTGAGACTCCAAAGACTCTGGCTCTGAATAAAAATAAAACAAAAAGGTCTGGGGATGTAGTTCTTTGTGAAGGTCGGGTCTTCAGTCTTCACATTACAAAGAAGGAAAAAAGAACCTGCTCCTGTCTTAGCCTTAGCCTTGCCCCGGGTTTTAAGTGGGAGGACCCCACCCCCACTTTGGGCCACACCCACTGAAAAACTTGAGGCCTTCTGCTCTTGGGATGCTAACTTGACAGTGTAGTGGGGTTGACTGAGAAGTACCGCAATACTGCACCCGGAGAAGCCCCTCTCTGAACCCTGCGAACCCTGCGAGCCCTGCGATCTCACCTGTTTAGGCAGCTGAGCGGCTGGGGTTGATCCTGGCACCGTGCTGGCCCCGCCCCCGGGCATGCTGAGATGGTGATTGAGGCTGGGAGTGGTGGTGGCAGCGGCGTGTGCCTGTAATCTCAGCGCGGGGGAGGCTGAAAACGGGAGGATCACTAGGAGTCTGATCTATGTAGTGAGACCCTGTAGACCCTGTCCAAAAATACAAAAAAAAAAAACGGCATCTCAGGAAGCATTAAGGGCGAAAGTCAAGCAAAGCTATGACTTCAAGCTATTAAAAGACAATTTGATTTGTTAATGAGGGGCTAGCCTTTGTGGGTAACTTGTTAAAAAGGGAT